TGCTTCGACCAGGATCTTTTACGCTTTATGTTGTCATATGTGATCCATTTCTCATCACCGATCCAGAATTGAGTCAAGTTTATGTGAAGTAATGGCAGTAGTAGAAGTTGGCAGTCCTTATTCATATCGATATGAGACTTCTTTCAACAGTCTTCAGCGATAGCCCATCACTCAGAAAGTAGAAGCGAGTCTTGGATCAGCGAAAAAGCAGAGAACGTGCAAAAAGTCGGCCGTAAAGTTTTAAAAGTAGTCAAGTCGCGCCAATCAGTTGCCAATTTGTTGTTCAACCTTTTTGAATCATTATAATCAACATTTTTGTAAACATTTATCCACATATCTATCCAAATAAACTTATGATAATAATCCCATTATCTTACATGGGGGCTCAACCGTGCCAAAAGTTGAAAGAGCAAAAATCATAGTGGTGTGCGTAAGCGTCGAGCGAAATCGGAAGAAAATTGAAATAAAACCAGTTGCAGTTGGATTAATAAAGTCGCAATAATGATGCGTTCAGCGAAGAAGAACAAAAATCAGAATCAAACGAAAACCCGAAGTGGACAGCAGTATGGGCAAAAAAGTCCGCAAAACGCCGAAATCGCGAATTTGGATTTGAACAAAACTTTTGTCTCGTCCCAGGAAATAGATGAGCAAAACCAAAAAGAAGAGGGAAACGAGAGGGAGGTGAATGAAGAGGCCGAAATATGCAACGAGTTGAAGTTCACAGCTATACGCGAAGAGACGTGCAGCAGCGAGTTAAGCGAGGTGCTCAAACTGCTTGCAACCAAAATTGGACAAAGCGAATCCAATAGGAATATTGTTCCGATCGAGAGTTTCGCTAAAGTGGTGCCCGAGTTCGATGGAGTTTCAATCCCAATAAGACAGTGGCTGAAATGCTTTGATGAAAACGCCGATGCCTACGAGTTGACGAACAAGCAGAAATATGTGAACGCTCGCCGAGCGTCGCTCGGATAAAAATGAAGGGAACAGCTAAGTTATTTTTGGAGTCCACCACCGTTTCAGATTATGAGAACTTAACTGCTGTACTTTTGGACGAATTTGACAAAACGCTGACCAGCGCTGAGATACACAAGCAGCTAAGAGATCGTAAGAAAAATGATAACGAAAATTTTCACGAATACGTATTGCATATGCGTAAGATAGCAGCTCTTGGAGTAGTTGAAAATGAGTCGGTGATTCATTACATAGCAGATGGATTAAAGCTTCGTGATGATCTTATGTTAAATATCCTCTTTACAGTGCCTCAACTTTCAAGGAGCTACGTAGTCGGTTTGAAACGATCGAAGCGATGACCAAATCAACAATGGGGCGAAAGCAAGCAATGCAGCAGAGTGACTTCAGAAAGCCAGGAACACAAGGAAGGCGATCCGATCAGCAGCCATCTCAGAATCAAAGGCATTGCTTCAACTGCGGCTCACCCGAGCATATGAGAGCCGAATGCAAGGAGGAAACTAAATGTTTTAAGTGTAATGGCAGTGGACATACGTCGCGGAATTGTCCAGGAAAGGGACCGAGTATCAGTGTGATCAGCGAATCAAGGGAGAAAACGCTCATGATCAACAACAAAAGTGTGTCCTGTTTAGTTGACACTGGAGCAGACGTATCTCTTATGCGTATGAGGACATACAAAAACAATTTTGCTGAAAACCCACCACAAAAAAGTTTCGCTAAATTGTACGGACTCGGAAACATTGCGACTTCAGTGCTGGGTGCGTTGGATGCGAAGGTGGAGGTGGATGGAATTGCTAGTCAGGACAGGTTTCTCATCGTACCTGATAACAAAGTGAATGTCAACGTTATTATTGGCTTTGATTTTCTGAAGAAGTTTACTGTTGTGCTGAAGAATGGAAAATACGCATTTACAGGAGGAGATGACGTCGTCAAAGTCGAGGCTGACCGTAATAATTACAACGTGGTAAGTCGTGATACAGAGTTAGACGTACCTCCAAAATACAAGCCGGCAGTCGAGCATTTGATTGGTAACTACAAGCCATCGAAAGTGGAAAAATCATGTCCTGTTAAAATGACAATAATTCCGAATTGTAACAACATTGCATTCAGGGAGCATCCAAGCCGATCATCAGCTGCAGAGCGAGAAATTATTCGCAAACAGGTCGAAGAATGGTTGCAGCAGGGCATTATACGTGAATCAAGCTCGGACGTGGCAAGTAAAGTTGTGCTAGCAAAGAAAAAGGATAAGTCATATCGGCTGTGCATAGACTACCGTGTTTTGAACACAATGGTATTAAAGGATCGATTCCCAGTTCCACTCATAGACGAAGTGCTTGACAAGATGCAAGGTGCGAAGTATTTTTCAGTCTTCGACCTCAAGAACGGTTTTTTCCACGTCGAAATAGATGAACCCAGCCGCAAATATACAGCATTCGTCACAAAGGAAGGACTTTTCGAATTAAATAGAGCTCCATTTGGGTATTGTAATTCGCCAGCTGTATTCGTAAGGTATGTCACATATATTTTTCAACAGCTGATCAATGAAAATATTATGGAAATGTACATAGACGACATTGTTGTTTTTGGGCGAACAGCACAGGAATGTCTAAGCAACATGGAGCGAGTACTGAAACAAGCTCAGCAGTACGGCCTTGACATAAAATGGTCGAAATGCCACTTTTTAAAGGAGCGTATCAATTTTCTAGGCTACGAGGTAGAGAATGGGCACATATGGCCTGGTAAAGAGAAATTTAAGGCTGTTAAACATTTCCCGATGCCGGTAAATATCAGAGGCATACAAGCATTTCTAGGGTTAACTGGATACTTCCGAAAATTTATTAAAAGTTATGCTTTTATTGCTAAACCCTTAACAGAGCTGTTGAAAAAGGATGCCGTTTTCAAGATAGAAGGAGCACAGAAGCAAGCAGTAGAACAACTCAGAGCAGCATTACAAGAAGAACCAGTGCTGAAGATTTGGAGCCAGAGCGCTAAAACACAATTGCATGTGGATGCATCTAAGCATGGATTCGGAGGAACATTGCTGCAGCAGCATGATGGCAAGTGGCACCCCGTTTTCTACTGGAGTAAGAAAACAACGCCACAAGAGGAAAAGTTGACCAGTTACGTACTTGAGGTAAAAGCAGCGTACTTAGCAACGAAGAGACTTCGACATTACCTGTTGGGTGTACAGTTCGACTTGGTAACAGATTGTGCGGCATTTAAGCAGACGATTTCCAAAAAAGATATCCCTCGAGAAGTTACGCCGTGGTTGATGTACCTACAAGACTTTACCTTCAATGCAGAGCATCGCGCAGGAACCAGAATGCAACATGTCGATAGTCTGAGTCGTTTTCCAGTGATGATCGTAACATCAGAAGTTCACACACAGATCAAAAAGGCGCAGCAGAATGATGAACACCTAATGGCTGTCAGAGAATTACTAAAGCAGAATCCTTATGCAGATTATATTGTCAAAAACAGTATAATTTACAAGCAAGTAAGAGGACAAGAGCTTTTGGCGGTACCAAAATGCATGGAGAAGGAGATAATAATAAACTCACACAACTTTGGCCACATGGGAACGCAAAAAACGATGCATGCAATCCAGCAGGATTTTTACATACCGCACTTGGAGAAGAAAGTTAAGCAGGTAATTTCAAACTGTATCAAATGCATCACACATAACCAGAAGCTGGGCAAGCAGGATGATTTTTTACACGTCATTGATAAAGGCGACACACCCCTTTCAACGTTGCATGTGGATCACTTAGGTTCATTGGACATGACGTCGAAGAGCTACAAATATATCTTCGCTGTAATAGATGCAGTGCCGGATTAAGCTAGCGCGGGGCCTGTAGCAAATTCTGTCAAGGGGCCCTTGCTTTGCTTTAGGTTCTCAAGTTTAGGGTATTAAATAAAACAAAATTGTTACAAATAAACTTTTCTGGATTTAATATGGGCATATTTAGAGATAACACTTTCAATATCTTTCAATATCGGATAGCTCCCATACGAGGGAATGAAATGAAAAATTTTCACGCCGTTGTTTTTCATCAGATCGACTTGAACTCTTCAAGATGGCGTTTTCTAACTGTTATTGAATTTCGGATTAAATTTGATCAAAATCGGATAACTCTATCATATAGCTGCCATAGGAGAGATCGAAAAATATATATAGATTTAATGGAGATAAATTGATTTTTATCCCACGAGCATGATTTTTTGAATATCAACTTTTTTAACAACCATTATATTGAAAAAAAAGTTTCATAAAAATCGGACAACTATATCTCATAGCTGACATAGGAAAGAACGAAAAATCTATATAGAAATAACGGAAATAAAATTATAACATCGTTGTTTTTCATCAGACAAGTATGATTTTTGGAATATAGAGTTTTCTTACGACTCTTGAATTACGAATTAAATTTGATCAAAATCGGACAACCATATCGTATAGCTCCCATATGATCTATATTTAAAAATTTGGAAAATGAATAGAAAAATCGTCTTAGATTTGATGTTGTCTAGCCTTTATGCGTTTTGTTCGACATATTTGATGACTGCAAGGGTATATAAGCTTCGGCTTGCCGAAGCTAGCTTCCTTTCTTGTTTTTAATACATTTTAATGTTGAAAAAGAACGTTCGCCACTGCAGTTAGTGATCATGAAAGACAAGTAAATGCGCAAGGCAATTTCTAAGTTTGGGAAACACGATTCTAAAGAATTATTTAATTCTTTATATAAAATTGCTGTTCCAGAGGCTCCTGTTTCGTGCTGTCAATAACAGTAGCCACATCTGTTTTCAGCAGCTCTGCGAACTGCACTAATTCGCCACCTAGGCTGTTCTCCAAATCATCTTCGTAAGCACTGACCATACTTGAGGATTTTTCCAAAATCTCTTGTTGTAAGAGATTTTAGCTGTCGAAATACTTCAAAAACACTATCTAAATTTTTTTTTTTTTACGATCAGATAGGTAGGAGTTGGAGCGCGGCCGCGCGGGCCCCCCCCCAATGCGCGGGGCCCGTAGCATTTGCTACTCCTGCTATATGGCTAATCCGGCACTGAATAGATGGCTTTTCTAAATATACTTGGATATGTCTACTAAGTCGACCGGCGCTGAAGAAGTTATCAAACACTTGGAATCTTGGGTAACAATATTCGGCAGTCCTCACAGAATTATAAGCGATAAGGGAGCTGCATTTACATCTCACTCTTTTAAAGAATTTTGCAGCAACAACAGGATTGACCACATCGAGACGACTGCAGGTGTGCCAAGGGGCAATGGCCAGATCGAACGGGTCAACAGAGTTATCATTTCAGTTCTCTCAAAGATGTCAGCAGCAGAACCAGCAAAGTGGTATAAGTACACATCGCAAGTGCAGCAGGCCATAAACGCACACGTCCACGCTTCAACTAGTTTCACGCCTTTTGAAGTTATGTTTAGCAAACGTATGAGAAACAACTCCAGTCCTGAGCTTTTGAGGTTCCTTCAAGATGAGATGCTGGTAAACTTGCAAGACAAACGCAATCAAATCTGGCAGGAAGCTAGATTACAAATCAAAAAAGCTCAAGACAACTACAAGAAAAACTACGACAAGAAGAGAAAGAATCATCATGGTTTCCAGCTGGGAGATCTAGTAGCCATCAAGATGACCCAGTTTATAGCCGGAAGAAAGTTGGCCAAAAAATACATTGGTCCATATGAAGTCATTCAGGTAAAACGCAACAGCAGATACGACGTCAAGAAGGCAGCCGACTTTGAGGGTCCACTACAGACATCTACTAGCGCTGATTTCATGAAGCTGTGGCGCTATGCTGATTTAGAAGAAGATGACGACCTGAGCGACGAGGAAGCTGAAGCATCTGGGACAGATGTTTTGCAGGATGGCCGAATGTGAAGTAATGGCAGTAGTAGAAGTTGGCAGTCCTTATTCATATCGATATGAGACTTCTTTCAACAGTCTTCAGCGATAGCCCATCACTCAGAAAGTAGAAGCGAGTCTTGGATCAGCGAAAAAGCAGAGAACGTGCAAAAAGTCGGCCGTAAAGTTTTAAAAGTAGTCAAGTCGCGCCAATCAGTTGCCAAATTGTTGTTCAACCTTTTTGAATCATTATAATCAACATTTTTGTAAACATTTATCCACATATCTATCCAAATAAACTTATGATAATAATCCCATTATCTTACATTTATTACGGTGCAACAAAGCTTTTTGGGATAACTCATGAGGCACCCATACATCGAGCTTTTTTGTTAAATTTTTCGACTTTAAATGCCTATGGACGTGCTTATTTGCAGCCTCTCTGCGATGCATCGCGATGGCTCTAATAGTCACATGACGATCTCGATCCACTATTTCCATGATTTTATGTGTATCAACGGTCACTGGTCGTCCGGAAGGCTTGAGTGTTTCGGTAACAAAATTGCCACTTTATGCATACAAAAAACGGAGATCTCATACAAATATCTATATGAAATTGCATCGGAGCGGCACCAGTGCCTGATTTCCATGTCATCGGTGCGTCGTCGTCCATGTCATCGAAGAAAAGCCGCTTTTGGAACTGCAGGGTAAGAACTGTCCAAAATACATACATACATACATATTTCATCAGGGCTCCGATGAAGATTGGACATTTTAGAGCCAAACTGTGTAAATTTAATTTAAATACTTTCTGAACGGTTTTTTGATTTTTGGATTCTGACGCACTGTGCAGTGTGTGGAAAAAAAGGCGACGACAAAGCGCAGAAATTGACAGTTTGTGCGTCTTTGACAAGCTGGTGATCAGACGACTACAGTCCAGGAGGAGGTATTCCAACATAGTTCTTCAGAGCGTCAATCTGAAATAGGCCGATCACGCGGAACTGGAAACTTGCAGAGGCTGATCTGTGGAAGGCTTTGGAGCCCAGAGGCAAGCGACGACAGCAGAGGCGAGCGACCGAGTCAGGAAAGTGATGCGGTTACCAGCAGAAAAAACTGAGTCTGGAGAGGAAGATTTGGTGAGACGTGGCAAGACACGTGGCCAAGCATCTAGCACAAAGGAGACAGAGATGGAGACCGAGACGAAAATCCTATTGGAAAACAGAATTTCAAAAGCAGTGCACGCAAGCTGAGTCACCCCAATCGAATCCGTTAGCGAGCAGTGAAAAGCTCGTTAACTGAGAATATTTCAGAAAAGTCTTTTAAAACTTGAAGAATTAACTGTCATAATGCAACTCGAAGAAATAATGCGCAACGTTAGGAGAATTAAATTTAGTCACAAGCGGTAGAAAGCGCGATTTGCAGGATAGACTCCTGGCTCATTACGGTACACAGAATGAAGATAATAATAACGATGAAGACACGAAAATCGTTAAGTGAAGCCTATATCTGAAAACTAAAAAATTTACAGCGGATTGGACTCGAGCTCTGATTTAAGGGCCTTTCAAAATGATACGGTGATAATATAGTAAATTGGAGTTGATCAAAGTGAAAAATAATGGTAATGGTAAATGGTTACTATTGCAATCTGTTTGTAAACTGATTAATTACCACCTTGAAACTTGAAAGTTGCATATACATTCTGAATCAAATAAATAAATTCGTTTAACAAACATGTATAGTTTTAATAAAATGTTTTTTCAATGGTAAATGTGCGTAATAGTGGCAATATTTTATAATAATGGTATTAAATGTGCTCATATGTGGAGATTATTGTTTTAACTCTTTATCCGATCAGTTTGGGTTGCGGTTTTCCAATTGCTTCATTCAACCGTCACTGACTTGGCAAGGTTTCTTGGGCAGTCCACATCGCACCCGCGGAGCACGGCAATATGATATGACAGGAGTTGCATGGGGATTACAGTCAGTATTCCCTGCAGACAATCAACGGTGCGGGGGATCTCAAGGTGGCGAGAGGAGAAAGCCTTGGTCTCGTTGTCTCCCTCTTCGCAAATAATAATCGGGCATCCCTTTCGAGATGTAACCTGCTGCAGTGCGTTCATGCACTTCACATAGACTGGGTCGCGCAAGACAATCATCAGGACTGGCATGGAGTCGTCTACGAGGGCCAGTGGGCCGTGCTTCAGTTCACCTGCCATGATGCCCTCACTGTGCATGTAGGTCAGCTCCTTTACTTTCTGAAATGCGTTTCGGTAGGGTTAACAAATGTTAAAGTTGGACGCGCAAAGTTTCTTACCAGAGCGCCTTCCAGGCAAGTGGCAAAATTGTAGCCGCGACCCATGATCAGCAGCGACTTGTGCTGGTAAAGATCCTTGGCGAGCTCCTTAACCTTTGAGTCCAGTTTGAGCACTTCTCGTATTTGGTCCGCGAGTTTGGACAGGGCTTGCAGAATCTCCAGCCGTCGCTGCTGCAGTGAGAGTCGATCCTCGGACATAACCAGAGCGAACATCACCAGGGAAATAAACTGCGAGGTGTAGGCCTTGGTCGAAGCCACTCCTATCTCTGGACCAGCGTTAATGTGCACTCCACAGTGCGATTCGCGGCATATGCTGCTGCCCACAGTGTTCGTGATGCCCACAATCAGGGCGCCTCGTTGCTTGCAATAGCGTAAGGCCATCAAGGTGTCGGCCGTCTCGCCGGATTGCGATATGAAGAAGCAGACGTCGTCGCGGAATATGGGTGTGTTGCGGTCCAGGAAGTCGGACGCCAACTCCACCATCACGGGGAGCTCAGTGAGCTCCTCGAGCAACTGCCTGGTGGCTACTGCGCTATGGTAAGAAGTGCCGCACCCAATCAGCATAAGACGGCGACAGCGTTTGATCTCCGGAATGTAGTCCTTGATACCGCCGAGTACAATTGCGTTTCCATCGAAGCGAACGCGGCCGCGCATCGTGTTGACGACGGAATCGGGCTGTTCAAAAATCTCCTTCTGCATGAAATAGTCATAATTTCCCTTCATGATCTGCTGGATTTCCATCTTTAAGGTCGTGATCTCACGTGCATGAGGGTCATCCAGACTCTTCTTTAGCCGATGAATACTCAAAGTACCATCACGCACCGCGGCCACATCATCGTCCTGAAATGGGAACAAAACAAGACGGCATGATAAATTTGCTTGTCTGTCGGATTTACATTGGTAAAAAATGTACAGTTTTAAGATAAACAGTTTGTATTGTCCGAATCCAATTTTTAAAAAAAATTTTAATATATATTTAAGCAATAGTTACCATACTTTTAAGCATTTTTTTTAATTTCGTAACTCGATTAGTTTGTATATGAAAATTTTTTAACAAGAAAGCTTTCGAGAGCTTTGGATAGATCCTTACAAAATGAGCACACCTCTGGTACAAACTTTGGATTCGAATAAAATTAAATTCGTAATTCAAAAATCGTTGAAGAACTTAATAAAAACTATGCATGAAGTAAATTTTTTTTATTGAAGCTTTGACATAGTCGTCCGATCTATGCCCTACATACATCCTAACTTATGAGATGGCTTTAAAATATAGAGACTTGTTCACTGTACTGCAAACTTGTAAATTAAATTAAACAAGAAAGGAAGCTAGCTTCGGCAAGCCGAAGCTTATATACCCTTGCAGTTACTAAATTTGTCGAACAAAATAGACAAAAGCTGAAGAGCATCGAAGCTATGACGATTTTTCTATTAATTTTCCATATTGTTCATATGACAGCTATATGATATAGTCGACCGATTTTGATGAAATTTAATTTGTAACTCAAAACTCATTAGAAAACTCTATATTCCGAAAATCATGATTGTCTGATGAAAAACAACGAGGTTATAATTTTATTTCCGTCATTTCTATATAGATTTTTCGATCTTTTCTATGGCAGCTATATGATATAGTATTCCGATTTTTATGAAATTTTTTTCTTAATTTAAGAGTATTTAAAAAACTTTATTTTTCCAAAAATCATGCTCGTGGCATTGAAAACAACGACATTATAATTTTTTTTCATTTATATATATATTTTTTGATCTTTCCTATGGCAGCTATATGATAGAGTTATCCGATTTTGATAAAATTTAATCCGAAATTCAATAGCAGTTAGAAACCGCCATCTGGAAGGAATCAAGTCGATCTGATCAAAAATAACAAAGTAAGAATTTTTTATTTCATTCTCTTGTATGGGAGCTATCCGATATAGTCGGCCGATCCGGCTCGTTCCGACTTATATACTGCGTGCAACAACTCCACAACTTTTGGGAAAGTTTCAGCAAGATAGCTTTAAAACTGAGAGACTAGTTTACATAGAAACCGACAGGAGGACAGACAGACAGACGGACAGACGGACAGACGGACAGACGGACAGACGTACAGACGTATTCCGATTCTGCTCGTGATGCTGATCAAGAATATATATACTTTATGGGGTCTGAGGTGTCTCCTTCACTGCGTTGCAAACTTCTGACTGAAATTATAATACCCTTTGCTCTGCAAGGGTATAAATATCCTCTGCAAGGGTAAAAACACAGAAAAATTCGGGAATACATCAATAAAAACCAAAAAAAAAAGTAGCTTCGGCAAGCACGGCTTATACGTTGACAGTCATCAAATATATCGAACAAAGTAAATAAATGCTAAAAAAAACATCGAAGCCTAGTTTACAAAGGGACAAACAGACGTACAGACAGATTTCTGACTTAAACTATTATACCCTCTGCATGGGTATAAAAACATTTTTCTATTTCGATTTTTAATAATTTCAAATATTGTACTTATTAAGGCGAAATAATTAGAAAATAATTTTTAACTTGATTTCATAAAACATTTGATTAAATATTTGAATCTTAAGTTAATCAGAATAAAGTTTTTAGAGTGACTTTTTTTTGTCTAAAAATTACTTTCTTTTAAACAATTTTTTAAATTTTATTTTTTAAATTAAAAAGACTCTACATTAAAAAGAGAATGATTCTTTTTTGGAATTAATATAAAAATTATTGTAAATAATTACAATTGTCAAAAGATCTATGGGGAACGCAAATAACGCCTAGAAGTACATATTTGAATGAGGAAATATTCGGAAGTCTTACCTCCAAATAGATGACCCGGTTAGTGTGCTCGATGACGGCCGAGGCATCAGATGCGAAGAAGTATTCAACTTCCTTCTCTTCCAAGGGCATGAACTCAGAAGTGCTGTCCGAACGCGGAATAACTGGCAGTTCACGGGATTGCCCATGTGGACGAATTTCTATTTGGTTAATTCCGAATTTTGATTGTGTGGGGTTGATGTTTCATTGCGTTGATGTTTACAGTTGCATTTTAGCGATGACAGTAATGGCGTTCGTAGCGATTCGTAGTTCCACCGTGGCATGAAACGGAAAAGATCGAAGCAACGCGTCCGTGGGGAGCAAGAGCAGGTGAGACTTTGTGAGTGAGGTTAATGGGTTTCAGTGCACCTACACCATACATCAAATTAGAAATATCAGCGAGAAATCAAATGAAAGTAAATTGGTTAGGATCAATTGCACTGCGATATCATTATTTTATTTGCGTGTTTCTTCTGCAAAGCCAAATATGAGTGGTGATAATCTAGTCCTGACGCTTACTTCTTCTTATGTGTTAGTAAAATAATTTTTAATTATTTATAATTATTTTGTTCAATAGCTTATTGTTAACTGTCCCAATTTTTTATTTTAGGGAAGAATTTTTTTAATCACAACAATGTTGTCAGAAGTTTGTTTATATGTGTACCTTAATGTGTACGTAAATGGGTTCCTAGCACAAAAAGCCGACCAAAACCAAAAGCTATCAATCAAGTTTTTTTTTAAATTTCTTAACATAAATAATTAAATTAATAGTTACCTTGTGGCTTGCTAGAGTCGGCATCTAAACAGATGCGAGGGGACGAAATAAAGTTTGAGTATTACGTTAATAATTGCTGGAGCCAAGTAGAATTCATTAGTTAAGAAATGGCAAGAATAAATCTTAAGCGAGTTTTGGTTAGTTTACAATAAGCCCTGCAACCCAAGATTGACGATTGGAAAAGCATAGGGGCCAGTCAGGTGACTACCTTGTTCAGGGTTTGGTTTCTTGTCGTCTACGGTATGGCATCGACGCCGAGAGCGGCACAGTAGCATCGGGCAGGACAGGAAGGACCGTGGCGGTGGTTATTACGAAGAAACGGACACACACGACACACAGACAGTTATTTACATAAAGATAGAAAACAAAGGATATGGATAGTGAAGAAACTGCATGGAGGAAGCCAGTGGTACACGGGGACACTCAGTTCCACTTACCTTTTCCGTATAGAATTGGAATGTGGTCTGTGGCTAAGCGAGTCTTCGTCTTGATTCCGACCAGCAGAGGAGAGCTGCGGCGTGAGGCCACACATTCTCCGGGAAAGTGCTTGGACTTCACAGCGATAGCAAAAGCGCCTTCCTGCACAGGGGGTTTGCAAAATTTAGTTGGTTGCTGCACGGCTGATACCGTGGACAACATACCACTTGAAGGATGGCCTGCTCGACCAGCTCGCGGAACGAATAGGTGGGGTGGGTTTTCCAAAGGTGATGGACGAGCTTGGCAAAGACCTCCGTGTCCGTGTCCGACTCAAACTCGTAGCCCCGCTTCGCCAGAAAGGTCTTCACATCGTTGTAATTGGTGATGATGCCATTGTGAACCACAACAAAACCGTTTCCCTCGTCGGAGCGGTGTGGGTGAGAGTTTCGCTCGCAGGGAACTCCATGGGTAGCCCAACGGGTGTGGGCAATACCGATATGAGTTAGCACGGGCTCACTGTAATCGCCTCCACTAAAGTCTGTGAAAAAAACGATTAAAAAGCTAGCACTTTATTTCACTATAAAAGCTCAGATTTCTTACGCTCCTGGATCGCCTCCTCAAGCACTTTGACCTTGCCCGTACGCTTGACCATCACAATGTTTTTGTTATCCGGTGAGTCGATGGCTACGCCCGTTGAGTCGTAACCGCGATACTCCAACCTCTTTAAGCCAGTAACCAACAAGTCAAGCACTTCCTGGCGCGACTTGGGCGTCAGATAATTCAGATAGGCAAAGATTCCTGATGTTATGAAAACAAGGAAGAATTAAGTTTGAATTATGCTGGACAAATACCTATATCGAATAGCCGAAATAAATTATTACGGCATTTTTGTTTAATTAATTAATTTTTTTGATTTGGATGATCCGGTAGCGAATTATGATGTTCATCTTTTCTTCAAAATTTTTTTTAAGGTGCTTCTGGAGATTAACCGTCACAGGCTAATTTATTAATATTTTTTATTCAACATTTTTTCTAATACTTTTTAAAACTTGAACAATAACAAGTCATTAAACTTAATAAAATTAAATACTCATGTGGCTCCAAAAAATCCTTTATTTTCCCTTTTAAACCCTTACCCGCAAATCAACTCAAATGTTGATGATAATCAAGAAGACTAGTTATACATTTTTAAGTCGGAGGTGCAAACTATAAAAAAAATACTTATGCATTACTTTAAGATTGCTTCTACTCGTACGGCCTTGTAAAAAGCAATTCAAATCAGTTGATTGTTTCATTATAAGTAAGTACGCCGAACCATATTTGCTGTAATTCTATTACGATCAAAAATTGTAGATCCCTTAGTTATCCATACATTATTCAGTTGCCACTTTTGCCTTTACTTACCACACATATTTTTAATTTAAAACGAAAATATTTCTTCAAGCTATCTGTAAGAAAAAATATAAAATTGGATATTAAATAGTATGTACAATAAAAAATACTGAAGAATAAGTATGTCAAATAATTGCATAATACAAATATAATATATTACGATGTTACTGAGTAATTATGTTTTGTGGCTATTTAAACTACATATGATAATTAACGTACACTCTGTGAAAAAGACTTTAGGGTCTAATTTTGATTCAGTTCAATTTTTCTTCATTTCAGTTTTTATTAAAAAAAATATATAATTAAGTTATTATAGTAATAAAAGCACACACGTTCCATTCTATTATATAATACTTTCCTTAACCGATTTCTAAAAGAAATGGCTCAATATACATGTAAATAATATTCATAAGAAATAAAAAATGTCGTATGTACTTTTTTTTAGAGCAGTTCAAAATTACTTAATCTCGATTATTAATATGTGTTTTTCTTAGAATTCTTTTCTTAATTTGCGGTATAAAGCAGTTTCGACTAACTTTTACCAAAACATTTGCCTGTTATATCGGTTATTAAAATGATGAATTGTTAGGATTATATAAGCACATAGTGTATTAAACACAAAAATCAAATGCGCAATACTATAGCATTAATCTTCTAGAAAAAAATTTAACAACAAGATCGGCGAGCCGAAGCTGATATACCCTTGCAGTCATCAAATTTGTCGAACAAAATACATAAAAGCTAAACAACATCGAAGCTATGAGGATCTTTCTATTAATTTTTGCATATTTTCGACTATTGTTCATATTGCAGCTATATGATATAGTTGTCCAATTTTGTTGAATTTAATTCGTAATTCAGGAGTCGTTAAAAAACTCTATATTTCCTATGACAGCTATATGATAACGTTGTCGGATTTTAATGAAATTTGTTTCTCAATTCAAGGGTTATTAAAAAACTCCATATTAAAAACAAGGATGTTATAATTTTTCTCCATTATTTATATAAATATTTTTTATCCGATTTTGATGAAATTTAATCCAAAATTCAATAGTAGTTAGAAAACGCCATTTGGAAGAATTCAAGTCGATCTGATTAAAAACAACAGAATTCAAGAACAGTAATTCGTAATTTTTATGAATTATTTTCATGTTCTGTGTAGAGTTCATGTCTTTCCATCTAAAACTCTCCAGTGACTCATTTGGACAGTGGCTGAGATACGTCATAAAACCCATACTAGACCTTATCGCCTTATCAAAGAAAGTGGGCCAATACGCGTCTTTTTTCTTCCACTTTTATGGGTAACGTAAGAATGAATACCCATTGTAATTGTTTCGACTCGTAATCTATTCTTTACTTTGTGTTAATCTAAATTAAAAAAAATAACGGAAATAGTTTTTTACTTTTTTAAAGTTTACTTATTAAAAATACTTTTGGCGCAATTTTTGAAATCTCTCTATCACGTACGAGGGGAATTAAGAGTGCATGAACTATATGGCGTCTATTCGGGGAAATAATATCTACACATTGACGAGTTATCAGCTAGTTGATTTGGCCCATAAAGCCAAGAAACTATACGTATACGTATACGTATACTTATTGATCACTCCGAGTCTTGACATTGCCAGAAATCTTTCTCAGTTTTACTAGAGATAAAAGTGTGCATAAGCTGTTTTGGTCGTTGGGAAAACACACCAGCTTTGCTGTTGGCATAGGCCGCAAACTTTGCTTGTTTACACAGCTTGCTGGCCATTGTATGTGCAGTTCGCTGGGACAGAGCAAATGCCATTTATAGGGAAAATTGGGTCGGGGACCGAGGGACTGGATGGAATTGGATACAAAAACTGTTTTTGCAGCCTGATTCGGCGATGGTTTTTGAACTTTCCTGCATGCATTGGTTAACATCAGTTCGAAAGAGTTAGGTCCAAACTGGTATTTTATGTAAGACAAACCACCGAATCGAGACCGCTAATTCGGGTTTTGAGCAGGTTTACTCCGTCGGCTATTGGCACTTGTGGTATTATTAAACTCAATTAAAGTTTGCCGCGCTGGCATCCGTGTCTCCGCGTTCGCTGATTGGGATTGAAATGCGCACAACGTCTCTTCGTAGCGGCCTAATGTCTAATGTCGCCTTGTGAATATATAATGGCAAACACTGTTACTTGTGCAGCTGTAATTCAAACTGGAACCTTAACCTGCGTCTTGTGCGTAAAAGGTGTTTCAAGTTTTTCAACCCGACTCTGACTCACTTGAATCGCTATTATAGATTGGTCGGAGTGCCCGGTCCTCGCTGTCTAACTGGTTGTTGCTGTGGTTGTGGTTTGCTTCGGATCTGGCGGTTCTCGCACTGGCCAACTTCACTGTTAAAGTAACACTGAGGCCCCTTCAAAAAGCAGCCCGCTCTAAATGCGGCTCTTTTATAGGCCGTGGCGCCCTCGCCGCCGCTGCGCCTCAGACACCGACGAAAGCCCGATCCGCAACGATCGCTAATGTCAAAGAGTCTGGCCAACTCGCAAGCCGAGAGCGGGCCAGGTGGGTTACCGGCTCTCACACCGACTGCGGCAGTTGCTCTTTGGAAACCGGCTGCACTCTTAATGTGCTTGTCAGGTTGGTCAGATCCAAGCCCATTTCCAGCCACGCTGAAGATGGTTCAAAATTATGCAGCTACGTTTTAGGCCCTTTGTCAGCAGATGTTTTCAATATTTAGTTATCAAAATAATATTAGCATACAGATTGCGTTATCAAAATATAACTCCAAAAAGAGTGCCCGTATGGTGAAAGACCATTTTCCTATTTTTTGTGTTCAATATATACATAATTTATTATGTCTTCTAAATGCAAGCATAGCTAAACGCAGAATCCTCTAAATGAATACATTAAAATGTCTTTTTTTATATTTTTTATTAAGTTATTAGGGAAATGGCTTTAGTAAAACTTATTTATTGATATGCTATATTGTAATCGTAATTTTTTAAGACTAATCAGTTAAATCAGTTAAGATCACAGCCTTTTTAAAATTTTTTTGGTTTTCTACAAACAAAATATCAAAGTTACCAATAAAAGAGGTAAGGTTATCTCAAAAAGTAAGTTATCATACGACAATATTTTAATGTTAAAAAATAACGTTTTTGAATAAAACGAGAACTTGAATATTTGTAAGTTTTTGTTTGTTGCTAAAAATTATATTATATAGTATTGTATTATTATGGTATTATTTAAGGCATGGTCTGTAAAAGTATTTTTAAACCAAAATAATAAAAAATCAAAATATAAAAAAACCGCGCACCCAAAATCGAAGAGATTTACTAACGCGCATAAAACACTTCGAAATGCAAACCGGTTACAAAATGAGAAAATTATGCACTGACGCAGCATTTAGTCGCTTTGGTCGGTGTTAAAACGAAGAAAAAAAAACATAAATATTAATGATATGGCTTGATATTGGTCGGCATAATAAACCAGTTACTAGTTTTCCGGACCGACTCCCTTAAACTCTTCGTGCGTAATTCCCTGACCTTGACTTCCATTCGAAAGGAAAAGTGATCCGCTAGTGGCAGCTTTTAAACCTAGTGTTTTGGAAAATGACGCACTGCAGCGCGAACTATTTATGTTTTTTGTTTACATTTTTGTAAAAATGTACTAGTTTAAAAATTTTCAAACAACTCTGTTGCATGAGTTATATAACTGTCACAATTACATCTGTGAAGGAAATTTGGATTTGCGATATTTTTAGCTGAACTTATTGAGCTTGACTGCCGGATTTGTGTGATTTGTGGATATACAGTGGCTCGCAGCTTATTTCGTGCAGTTACCTAAAAAAGTTCAAATCGTTATTCCTGCTAAACTAAAAAAGATAACTGAAAAATTTAAACGCAGTATTTTAATATGGAATATTAACTTATTTATTGAACGAAAGCGATTTTCTTAATCATAAAAACAAAAAAATTATTTAATAAAAACAAAATGTACAGGGTTTTTCGATGCCGCAGCTTATTTCGTGCAGCAGATTCTACTTAACTTATTATTAGTAATTTAACAGATACGGTTTTGTATGTCCATTTTTCTGGTTCAGGACATCTTTGAGATGATTTCCCATGGAGCAAAATAACTTTTTAGTGGTTTCCAGTGGAATTTTTTGCCATTCTTCCATAAGAACAGTTTTCAGGTCGTTTTTGTTCGAAATCTTCCTCTTCCTTATAGCGATGTCCAATATTTCCCAAAAATTTTCGATCTCATTTAAATCTGGAGACTGTGCTGGCGTTATAACGACATGTGGGCAGTTCCAGGTAACCCAAGACTTCACAATTCCTGCTGAATGCTTCGGATCGTTGTCCTGGTAAAATCGAAAACGATCGCGTATGCCCAGTTTTTTTAGCAGTTTGCAGTAGGTTACCCTCTAAAATGTTGAGGTACATTGTGGCGTCCTTGATGCCATCCATGAAAATGACTTTGCCCATGCCAGAGGCTGCCTTACAGGCCCAAACAATGGCCTGACCACCGCCATGTTTGACCGTAGATTTCAGGTGCTTATTTTCAAACTCTGTATTTGGTCACAGGAGCACATACTTTCACCGATTTTGTTCTGGGATGACTTTATTTTTGCTGACGAGTCAAAATGTAACATTTTTGGTTCAGATGGACGACAATTTGTGTGGCGGCGACCAAATACAGAGTTTGAAAATAAGCACCTGAAATCTACGGTCAAACATGGCGGTGGTCAGGCCATTGTTTGGGCCTGTAAGGCAGCCTCTGGCATGGGCAAAGTCATTTTCATGGATGGCATCAAGGACGCCACAATGTACCTCAACATTTTAGAGGGTAACCTACTGCAAACTGCTAAAAAAACTGGGCATACGCGATCGTTTTCGATTTTACCAGGACAACGATCCGAAGCATTCAGCAGGAATTGTGAAGTCTTGGGTTACCTGGAACTGCCCACATGTCGTTATAACGCCAGCACAGTCTCCAGATTTAAATGAGATCGAACATTTTTGGGAAATATTGGACATCGCTATAAGGAAGAGGAAGATTTCGAACAAAAACGACCTGAAAACTGTTCTTATGGAAGAATGGCAAAAAATTCCACTGGAAACCACTAAAAAGTTATTTTGCTCCATGGGAAATCATCTCAAAGATGTCCTGAACCAGAAAAATGGACATACAAAACCGTATCTGTTAAATTACTAATAATAAGTTAAGTAGAATCTGCTGCACGAAATAAGCTGCGGCATCGAAAAACCCTGTACATTTTGTTTTTATTAAATAATTTTTTTGTTTTTATGATTAAGAAAATCGCTTTCGTTCAATAAATAAGTTAATATTCCATATTAAAATACTGCGTTTAAATTTTTCAGTTATCTTTTTTAGTTTAGCAGGAATAACGATTTGAACTTTTTTTAGGTAACTGCACGAAATAAGCTGCGAGCCACTGTATGTATATGACTCTGTCGAAAAAAAGCCTTTAAGTGATGTTGTTAAACCGAAGTCTACAGTCTACTCGTCTGGGCGGCCTTGCGTTTGGAACTGGAACTGAAACCTTTTACCTTTTACTTGCATAAACTTGAACAGGCAGCCGGCGAATACAGGGGCCAAGAGCCGGAGTGCTGCCACTTGCTTAACGTTGAACAAAACAAACACGGAAGAGCTACCAGCAAGGGTCGACTAGAGAAACAAATGCAATTCCTAACAACTTCTAGTTGGCTTGCCAAGATACCCAGTTCAGCATACTAATATACTTTTTATTTTGGGTCTTAGGACCACGTCAGACACTCGAGCGAAACACAAAGAGTAAACAAGTTTTAAAGTGCCTGTGCGAGAGGAAGAGGGTGGGAAGCAGAGTTGCCGCTTATCAAAGCGCAGATAAGTTCGGAAACATTCAAAAGAACTCGTTTTCCGGCAGTTGCGAAAAGTGACACGAACTGATTTGTAAGCGATTGCATAGTACAGTGAAAGCAAGTGAATGCAATTATTTGAACATTCCTTAAGAGCACAAACCGTCAATTATCGCTATTGTTTACAAAATAAGAAATGATTCTTAGCTCACTGGCCGTTTGCTTTGCACAATAACCAACCTCATCTTAAACCTCCCACTAGAAGACTAAACTTCACTTATTAAGGAACTGCCAGTTAGATGAATTAAAATGCCTTGATCCCATTCTAAAAGTGTTTTAAGCGAAAAACAGAGCAAATCGGACGACTATATCGTAATATAAAAAATATAGCATTTTGTCATTTTGGCCCGATTTCTTGGAACACAAGAAAGAAAGCTAGCTTCGGCAAGGCGAACCTTGCAGTCATCTAATACATATGTCGATCAAAATGCATAAAGGATAAACAAAATCGATGCTATGACGATTTTTCTATAAATTTTCCATATTTTCGTCTATTGTTCATATGGCAGCTATATGACATAGCTTTCCGATTTTGATAAAATTAAATTCGTAATTCAAGAGTCCTTAGAAAACTCTATATTCCTAAAATGGTGCTTGGCTGATGAAAAACAGCGATGTAAGAATTTTATTTCCGTTATTTCTATATAAATTTTTCTATCTTTTCTATGGCAGCTATATTTTTTTGTCGGATTTTATTTTTTTCTCGATTCAAGGGTTATTAAAAACCTTAATATGTTGAAATTCATGCTCATGGGATTAAAAACAACGACGTTATATTTTTTCCATTATTTATATATATATTTTTCGATCTTTTCTAAGGCAGCTATATGATAGAGTTATCCGATATTTAGTCCGAAGTTAGAAAACGCCATCTGGAAGAAATCAAGTCGATCTGATCAAAAACAACAGCGTGAGAATTTTTTATTTAATTCTCTCGTATGGGAGCTATCCTATAAAGTCGTCCGATCCGGCCCGTTCCGACTTATATACTGCATGCAACAACTACACAACTTTTGGGAAAGTTTCAGCGAGATAGCTTTAAAACTGAGAGACTAGTTTGCGTAGAAACGGAATGACGGTCAGACGGACAGACAGACGGACGGACAGACGGACAGACGTACATACGTATTTCGATTCAAATCATTATGCTGATCAAGAATATATATACTTTATGAGGTCTGAGGTGTCTCCTTTACTGCGTTGCAAACTTCTGACTGAAATTATAATACCATTTGCTCTGCAAATGGCAAGGGGATCACTTTTTTTACGAATTAGACGGGAATTCGATTTATCGAGATTTCTATTTAACGGGGCTCAAAAATGAAAAATTCAAATAAACGGGGTTTTTACATTTCACATCATGTTTACATATGTATTTAACTTTATTAAAATTAAACAAACATTATAAGTATGAACATTCATTTGTACGTTTTTCAAATTAAAGGAAAATTAAACAATAACATAAAATTATAACAGCGAGAGAAACACAAAATGCATAATGCATAGGCGACATAAAGGC